AAAAAAAAAAAAAAAAAAAAGAAAAAGAAACCTACCTTATCTGACAGCAGATCATAAGACCCATTCATTCATTTGTTTAGAGACACTTCGTAGTTCAGGCTGGCCTCGAACTCACTAGGTAGCCCAGATTAGCCTCAAACTCACAGTGATCCTCCTTCCTCAGCCTCCTAAGTGCTGGGATTACAGATGTGCACCATCACACCCTTCTAACATCTCCATTTTAGAGGGGGTCCTGCCTAAGCTTAGGAGGAAGAAATGCTGCAAAGAGTTCAAGGACAATCTGAAAAGACAGGCCCCAGTGGATTTCCCCACTTAGTCTATTTCCATGAGCTCACATTCTTTCTGTCCAACTGTATTTGTGAAAGGTTGTAATGCTTTAATTATGCCTATGCCTCCATAAGGGCCCAAAGGACAGGGGTCAGAGAGCTTCACACAGCTGAACATATGGAGGTTTACAGGAAGGTGAGCAAGAACCTGTGTATATGCAGGGAAGGTGGCTCCCTCTAACTCTATGGGATGGAGGTTCTTAGAGCTCAGGACCTAACCCTGTGTATCTCTTTATGTGGCTGTTTCTTTCTTTTACAATATCCCTGATAATAAACCAGTATATATAATTAAGTGTTTCCCTGAATTATGTGAACTGCTTAGCAAATTAATTGAGCCTAAAGAATAAGTCAAGGAACTTATGATGGCACACACTTGTAATCCCAGCACTCAGGAGGCCGAGGCTGGAGAACTGAGAGTTCAAGGCCCACCTGGGCTACCTATCAAGTTCAAAGCAAGCTGAGCTACAAGGCAAGACCCTGATCACCCCCCATCCCTAGAGCAGGTGATGGGAAATCTAATTGTAGCCTATCAAGTTAGAAGTTTCAGAGGCCTAGACTCTGAACTAGCGTCTGCAATGGGAACAGTCTTTAGGACTGATTCCTCAAGCTGTGGAATGGGACACTACATCCAGCAGACAGTGTCAGAACTGAACTTAGAGGATGCTCAGCTGGTGCCTGCTGCACAACTGATTGATTGCTTGCTGGTAGGGAGAAATCCCCACACATTTTGGGGTCACATAGGTGATCTGTGTTTTTGGGGTATAGTAGGAGAACCCAAGGCTTAATTTGTTTTTCCTCTACAGCTTCCAGAATAATTTCTAGATATTTTTTTGTCTTTCACAATCTTGATACTTTTGAAGAGAACTTTTCAATAATTTTATAGAATGTTTCTCCATTTGGGTATGTCTTGGGATTACATTAAAATTCAGCACTTATGACAATTTCTTGGTATACAACCAGTAAGAATATGATGCTGATGTGTCTTATGACTGGTGACATAAAAGGCTGAGTTCTAAATGACCAGGTTAGTTTTCTATTGCTGTTAGAACAAGATACCACAAATGCAGTGGTATAAAACCATACAAAACTCCATTTCATACTGTCTTATACCAGGTTTTTAAGAAAAACAGACTTGGCAGGATATAAGCCTTTCTACATATCAGTAATGAATTAGCTGAGAAAGTAATCAGAAAAAAAATTCCGTTCACAACAGTTTAAAAACAAACAAAAAACCAACAAAAACCTAGGATTTAGCCCAATCAAGGACATGAAGATCTTTACAATGAAAATTACAGACCTGTGAAGAAACTGAAGGAGACCCTAGAAGACAGAATGCCCATGTTTATAGACTGGCAGAATTAAAGTTGCTAAAATGGCCATACCACCAAAAGTGATCTGGAGAGTTAATGCAATCCCCACCAAAATTCCAAAAACAGGGCCGGGGATTTAGCTCAGCAGTTCGGTGGCCTGCCTTTTAAGTGCAAGGACCTGAGTTCAATCCCCGGTACCAACAGAACAGAACAAAACAGAACAAAACAAAACAACAAAATTCCAAAAACATTCTTTATGGAACTAGACAAAACAACCCCAAAATTCATGTGGAACCACAAAAGACTAAGAATAGCTAAAGCAATAAAGCAAAGCTGGAGGCATCACAATACTTGATTTCAAATTGTACTACAAAATCATAGTAACAAAACTAGCACAGTGGCACAAAAGACATGTAGACCAATGGACCAGAAGTGAGGACACAGAAACAAACCCATACAACTATAGCTAATTATGGACAAGGTGCCAAAAGCATATGTTGGAAAAAACACAGTGCTAGCAAACAGGGCTAGGAAAACTGAATAACCACATGAAGAAGACTAAAATTATTGAAATCGAAACTCTCTCACTTTGTATGAAAATCACTTAAAAGTGGATCAAAGACCTAAATATGAGACCTGAAATGTTGAAATTGCTAGAAGCAAACCTAGGGAAAACACTTAAAGCCACAAGTAAATATTTCTTTAATAGAACTCCAATAGCACAGGTAATAGAGTCGAAAAACGGGACCATATCAAACTAAAGTTTCTGCACACCCTAGGAAACAACCAAGATAGTAAAGAGCCTACAGAATACAGAAAATCTTTGTCTGCCACTCTTTCAACAGATGATTAATAGCTAGACTATATAAAGAACTCAAAAACTTAACACCAAAAAAGCAAACAGTTCAATCAGTAAATGGACAAATGAATTGAACAGACACTTCTCTAAAGAGGTAGTACAAATGGCTAGGTAAGTGTATGAAAAAATGTTCAATATCTTTAGCTATTACAGAACTGCAAACTAAAACTAATTTGAGATTCCATCTTACCCCAGCCAGAAAGGCCACCATCAAGAATACAAAAGACAGCCAGGCGTAGTGGCACATGCCTGTAATCCCAGCACTCGGGAGGCTGAGGCAGGAGGATTGCTCTGAGTTTGAGACCAGCCTGGCTACATAGTGAGTTCCAGGTCAGTCCCTACTTCGTAGTGAGACCCTGTCTCAAAAAACAAAACAAAACAAAACAAAACAAAACAAAAATACAAAAGAAAGTAAATGCTGCAAGGATGTGGGGGAAAGGAACCCTTCTACACTGCTGGTGGGAATGTAATCCACATACCCTTAATCCATAGTTCACACACCCTAGATCCAGCCACCTCCAAAAACTCCCACCTATAAGTATGTGAGGCACCTCAAGATATAAGCCATAGCATACAGCTACTATGGAAATCAGTATGAAGGGTTCTCAAAAAACTAAAAACAGAGCTATTATATGACCGAATATACCATTTCTTGGTATATTTCCAAAAGAATTAAAGGATACTTGGATACTTATGTTTATTGTGGCACAATTCACAAAAGGCAAGATATGGAACCAGCCTAGGTACCTATCAATAGATGAGTGAACTGCCGCCTACCTCACAAGTGCAAGGTCCCAGAGTTCAATTCCGCATAAAGGAGAACAAGATTATGTATAATTTACAGAAATCATCATGTTAAGAAAAGTCAGGGGCCGGGATGTAGCTCAGCAGTGCAGCACTTGCCTGGCAATGCAAGGCCTGGAGTTTGATTCCTGGTGCCAAAAAAAAAGAAAAAAAAAAAAAAAAAGCCAAAAGCCAGACTCGGAAAGACAAGTATGGCATGTTTTCTCTAATAAATGGAATCTAAAAAAGGTAACATGAAAGTAGAAGGGAAGACTATTATTAGACAAGGAGAAGGGAACAGGAGAAAGGAGGGGAGGGGGTGTAAGGGAGGGTAATGGGAGAATAGAATACAATCAAAATGTAGGTATGTATAAAAATACCACAATGAAACTCAGTATTTTGTAAAATTAACAGGCATTAATAAAGAACGTTTTTTAAAAAAGAAACTGATCTCAGACAAATATAATCTTGTATAAAATATTTTAATATATGTTTATTCTAACTCAAGTATAAAATCCTTTAAAATATGTATAAAAATACTAATGTACTCTCACAGGCTCCAGCAAGCAGAAGGTTCTCTCCTTCTATGATCTGAAGGGTAAGTGATGAAGTGGGTGCCCTGTGGGGCCTTAAATGCAGGAATGACAGAATTGCACCATTCCCCGAAAAACACCCTGCTGTGTGTTAGAACTGTCATAATCATACCAACTAGATCATACACACATGAGCTTATCAGCAGAATGCTATGTCAAGTAGAAAATATTAGTATGGACCCCATGGAGCCTGTGAATGGTGCCTATGGATGGCTAGTTCATGGCCCTTACCTTTCCAGATCCAAAGACTGCTTCCTGGGCATATCTGATGAGACACTCTTTGCAGAACAGGTGAGCATCAGCACACTGTGTCAGCTCCTCAAATGGAAATTCCCCGTAGCAGCAGCGGCACTCGATCAGCTGGCCATCCTGTGGGCCACCAAAGACACGTGAACACCCCACATGCCACACCTGAGTACAGCGGAGGACACATCTCACACCCCAGACACACATTCTGAGATCAAAAGCAACCCCTAAAACAGCAATGAGCGGTTTTCCTAGCTAAGCACAGCTCAGGATACCAGTGTAACATTAACCCTATAACCTATAGCTAACAATAGCAAACATTTCACATTTCTTGTGTCTTCTCTGGAGCAATTCTTTGTACAAATCCATCCCACTCATCCATTCAGTGACATTAATGAAACTAAAATATTTGTATTCAGATGCTAACATGACTATAAAAGTAAGGGGTAAGTGGCAGGAGATGTTATCTAAAAGCTTTCAAAAGCTGGATTTTCTCTTTTTGTTATGTCACAGGAGTGTGAGGGAGTTGTAACCCAGCTCAAGCTTTATTTTAAGGGACTACTGAAGCCAACTAAAGCAGCAACTGGAAGGAACACACACCAGACTTTAATCTCTTTATTCACCGAGGTGATGGATCTAATCACCTGCCTGTTCCTGACTGTGCTGGAAAGGCCACAATGCACACCAGCAGACACCACTCAGTCACTGGCCCAATGCCAAACACAGCACTTTCTTTCAACTCCAAAGTGCTTTCTGAGTTCTAAACTTTCCCCTAACAGTCTATGCAGTGGATTCCCAGTAAGAATCTTTAATAAGAACATCTCCATCACTATTTTCCTTTCAACTCTGACTCACACTGGTACTAAGAGTGCCTATACTAGCTCATGTTACTGATTGCAAACTGGGTGAGCTGCCAACTCAGCAGACTGAAGGAGATTATAAAGGGAGTGTTTGCCTTTGAAATGCCGACGAAGTGTGATTAAGGAAAAGTCCCTAAGTGCACCCTGGATAGTCAACTGGGTGAGACTCCAAAATACCTTTTGATACTGTTCTTCATTCATCTGCAGGGCAAGCAAAAAGTCTTCATGCTGAGGAACAAAAAACAGAAACGAAACAAAATCACACTTTCAGATACAAATTCAGTAAAGATGACAACACACCATTTGGTGATACTTCTATAAAAATGAGTCTATTAATTAGTAGGTATCTGCTCAGTTACATGGTTTGGTAGTTTAAAAAATTACCTGAGACTAAATATGCAGAGTGAATAATGGAATATTGATATATTAGAACAATGCTGAACAGTAAAGAACAGCAAAAGCAAACAAAAGACTAAATGGGCCAAGCTTGACAACACACTTTGCTGCTGAGGCTGTGGGGCAACAGCATTTCTACATATTACACATAGCACAACCATAAGGAAAGGGACTTGGCACGGATTCATTGTTTTTTGGGAATCTGGCCCAAAGACACCCGGGGCAGAAACAAATCGATGTATGTACACATTTATTTATCATGACACTATTTACAATAGTTCAGACCTGGGAAAAACCTTGAATGCCCATCAAATGAAAACTGAGTAACCTCTTGTACTGTAGACAACAGTGTAAATCTCTGTGGACTGCTGGGAAATGATCACCAGGATATGCTCAAGTGAAAAGAAGCAGGGGCAGAAGAGTGTGCTACCTTCTGGATAAGAAAGGGGGATAAATGAAAATATAGAGCCGGGCATGTGGTGCATCCCTGTAATCCTAGCACTTGGGAGGCTGATGCAGGAGGGTCACCAGGAGTTTGAGGTCAGCCTGACATAGCCAGACCCCCATCTCAAAAAAAAAAAAAAAAAAAGAGGGAAAAAAAAAAA